TCTAGCTGCTCTCTCAATCCCTCTCCTCAGAAGAGGAACTCAAAAATCTCATGACTCAAAATGAATTAGATAATTTACCAATTACTGTCACAGAGAAAACAAACTCAGCTTGGGGACTTGAATCCCTTGCACTAGACCGACACAACCCTGCTAGCTGAAACACCAATCAACCTGAGCTGTGACCTTTTAGAGTGGACAGGTGTTGGAGTAAGTACATGCCTACATAGAAAAATCTTTTTGCTTGAGCAGAATAACAATTTCATGTTAATTGAGGTAAACTTTGAAGGGACTTATGCAGGAACACTGATTTGTATGTAAACCTCATTTGTTTCCCATCAGTTTTGAACAGCTACTATTTCTCAGTATAGAGTATAAATTTTAAGAGCAGTCACTGTTCCAACGCAGGTAGTTAGAAGTAGCTTTTTCTGCAATATCTCTTGAGTCTGGTTTCTCTTTTTTTGGGCAAGGCTCTTAGGAACTGTTCTAGCTAGTGTGCAAGAAAATTTTTGAGGGCAGAAAATTCTGAGTTTCACTGGTACCTTTGTATAACTTCACAGTCTAGGATAATTAGAATAAACAAAGGGAGTTATTTTCAGAGTTCTTTACAAGACCATCTATATTTTAGGAAATAAAAAATTAATACAATTATAATTGTAATAATCCTCTGTAATAATATCTGGTAACCTTTCAGTGTTTTGGAATTTTGCATAAATTAGTATCTAAAAATATCTACATGAGGTCAGATGGATCTGTGTCCTAAACCAGTATCCCAACTAAAACAGCCAAAATGCCAAGTGAGCTTAGCCTAGCGTGACATATTCAGCTTTCAGGATATTTAGCACTCCAAGCAGCCATGCAAACATTTTCTGTCCTGAATAGACATTGAGTAACCACTATGAGACTACTGGAAGAAAATTCCCCTCAGGTTTTCTGGTTCACTCCCCAGTGACTGGGGTCACACCAGGCTATGCCCCATCCCTCCTCCCACCTCCTGGTTTTCAATGAAATAACATGAGTAAGTAGCAGAAGGGAACAGTGATAGCATCCAAGGTTAGTGATCTGGCAACCAAGAGTTATAGGGCCAGACATACCCCACAACTTAGTTGTGACCTACACAACTAGAGATCTAGTCTGCCAAAGTCAGTCAGAACACTTCCATCAAAGTCCTCTAAAAGTGTTTCCTAACCATGGCCTTTTATCTGATCAGAAGCATCAGCCATCCCATGGTGGAAGTCACAAGCCTTTCACTTGTAGCATAAGAGTCTCAGATCTGCATCAGATGAACAGAAGATGGACACAGAGTTCAAGCAACCTTGCTTAGTCACTAAAATAATAGTATTTTATCACCACAATATACATAAAGTGACAACTCCATACATCCTATATCTATCTGTGTGTCTGGGAAAATCTCTATGCCTCCCATCATGAGACACATGAAACAGTTAAGATGAAGGCCACTAATTACACCAGAATGATATTACCACTTTCTTCTTTTTTGAGGGAAGAAAATTCAGTATCATCTCTTATTTCCATAAAATGAGAGTTTTGTATATGAGTCCCTTTATTCTTCAGTAGCAGTTGGATGCTTGGATGCCAGACCTGAGGATCCTCAGAAAATCCTAGCCTAAAGCCTGCCTGCCTGAGTAGGCTGCACTATTTGAACTTAAAATGGTCCATAAGCCCCTCTCTAGATATGTTTATAGAAATGTAAAATCACATATTTGCACTAATGCTCTCTAACATCTGCCTGTTGCAAGAGATGACTAAGAACTCAGAATAAAAGCAAAATTAATGACAAGAATTGCAACAGCTGTATTTAAACCAGACCAAAGGACAACCTGCCTTGGTAACACCCTACAGCACTCTGTAAAGCTTCTTAACCTGAAAGTTTATAGCATGCAGCTTTGGGTAAAACATGGACTAGTACTGGTCAATGTTTCTTTCACCACTACAGTGGCTTGCTTTTTGAAGCCCACACATGTTTGGAGCTTCCCACCACATCCTGTGGCAATGAATTTCCACCCTGTAATTATGATCCTCGTGGAAAGCATCCTCTCTTGGATTTCATGTTTAAAACTTACCAACTACTAATTTTATTGTGACTACTTCCTTTGCTATGAAATAAAGTGAAAACCATTCTTTATTCACTTTCTCAGTTTGCTTCATTATTGTCCTGGGGCTCTGTCACAGTCCTTTTCCTCATTTGTCCCTATTCCATATGAAAATCCTAAAGCCTTTCTTTTTTCTTTCCTGGTAGAGAAACCATTAAATACCTTTGATCATCCTGTCACCATTTTCTTTATCCTCCTATTGCTATCCTGTCATTTTTGAGATGAGATGACTGGAACTGTATTCAATATTCAAAATGCTAGGTGAGCAATGGATTTCTTTGGCAGCATTATCGTAGTTCTTCTTCTTCTGTTTTCTGTTCTATTCCTAGTATTTCCTAATATACTGCTTTATTTTTTTTTTTTGACAGTTGATGAGGATTTAGGTGACATTTTCATAAGGCTGTCTCCAAGCTCTCTTTCCCAACTAGTAGTTAATTTCACTGTGTGTTTATAGATTTCCCAGGGTACAGGTAGGACAGCTTAGTCATTTAGCCTTGAAAACACAACTAAATTACAAGAGGGGTTGGGCTGTAAATGGGAGATTGTTGATAGAATTTTGTACTTGCTCAGTTCTGCTGGCAACTTTTATTCTTCTAGGTTTTGTTATACCAGAGGTTTCTCTCATGTATGTGAGGCAGTGTAAATGTTTGCCACGGATCTCACAATTTCAGTGGGCTGTTGATTATTTTAACAGAACATTAATTCTAACAGAAAACTCATTCAGGAAAGCATTCATTCCATGACTTCTAGAGAGGGTTTTGCTGATTTTGCCGCTGTAAGGCATATCCTGAGCAAAAGCAAGGGAATCCAAACAAATGCATAATCCTCTGCAGTACTGACTCGATGGAGATTTTATCCCATAGCCTCCAATATCAGGTAGAGATGCATAGCATTTCAATCTTTTTCATAGCTGAAATGTGCTATCAGTATCATAATGATTGCTAAAATGGAGTTCTGGAGCCTAATGAAATCTGAAATTGAATAAATCACTTTAGGACTGTAAAAACCTAGCTGTGAAAGAACTTTAAATAGTTGTTTCTAAAAGAGTGCTGACAGAACAAATATATTGCTGCAAGTTGATCAGTCTCATCTCTGACTTTAAAAAAATTGCTATGTTATATTTCAATGATTGCTGTCAAAAATTCTTTAATGGGCCAAAGACACCTCAGTATCATATCACAAGTAGACATCTTTTTAAAATGAGGTTTTCATCTGTTTCCTTTCATGGAGTAGTAGTCATTTGACTTTGTCCTCATGACTATAAGCTTTTATTTTCAAATTTGTGGCTGCACTACAGTACAGAAGGTAGAGATCTATGAAGTTTTCCTGTTAATGCAATTTTCTCTGGGCAACATTTCTGCTCCTTAATAATTCTGTTGTTTATTCCTATGTGTTATAGGCAGAGTTTTATTAGTATGGATTTTATATCTCCATTCCAGTCTAAGTCCTGGGGATCTTAGAAAGATTGACAGTGGAAACATTATTTCATAGCTGTGGTGGGCTGACTTTGGCCAGCAGCCAGGCACCCATCCATCTAGTCTCTCACTTCCTCTTGAAAAATACAATAGAAAATCCTACAGATTGGAATAAAGACAAAAAGATAATTCTTGATTACCATAATAAGGGGAAAAAAAACTGATTGCCATAATATGTGGCATTCGCATTCTCTGAAAAAATTATTTTGCCTAAGATTTTTCTCCTGGGAAGCTGAGAAGCCTCAGAGAAAAGGACAACAATTCTTATCTCATTTGCTTCTCCTGTGTTTTGCTCATGTGGAATGTGTTTGGAGCTTGTTTACCCAAAGGTGATTGCATGATTGGATTCTGGTGTGAGTTGTTTTGACTCATTGGCCAATTGGGGCCAAGCTGTGTCAGGATTCAGGAAAGAGTCACAAGCTTTCATTATGAGCTTTTTAGCACTCAGTAAGTATCCTTTCTGTATTCTTTAGTATAGAATAGTATTATTTAATATAATAAAATATAACAAAGTAATAAATTAGCCTTCTGAGAACATGTAGTCAGATGCATCATTCCTGCCTTTGTCAGGGCATTCCCTGCAAATATAATAGTAATAGGCAAAAAAAATCCCCAGAGATGACTTTGGGAAAACTAATTTAATTTTTTGCCAATTAAAAATAGCATAGGAAAGTGGGAAATAAAGACAACACTAAATCCACTTTCCCTCTAACATTCTTTTTCATAGGTTCAACTCCACTCCCTAATTCCCAACTCCCATAACTCCTTCCACCACAGCCTGCATAGATGGAAGCACTCATCCCAGTTTTTCAGTTTCATTTTGATTTTGAGAGCTAGGAGGGCTTCTTGGTACAGTCAACTCCCCTTTCTGTTAAGGACAATTGGAAATTACAAAGCTATACTTTAATGTAGAGTTGTGTTTGAGTACAAAGGGATAGTCCCAGCTACTAGACCACAAATTAGGAGGCCAAATACATTAACTAGTCCAAAAGATAGCAAATGAACTTGTAGTCATCCTTTTGAAAGACATTTAGGGACATGATTTTCTGGGCTTGTTTTGGAAAGTCATTTGCTCCAGCATATTGGTTTTTTAACCAGTAAAGGAGTCAGACTTCTTTCATTTTCACTGCTCTCTCTCAACTATAAGAGCTTGCAAATGTAGGTATGCAAGATAATAAGTTATATAATTGTTTTTTCTCATTGTTTTGACTCCCTAGGCACTCCAGGAAGTTTGATCTGAGCAGTTCAACTTCTGGAAGCCCATGAAATCTCTACAAATCCAGCAGGGAAATAAAAACATATTTTATGAATTAATAACCTCATAAAATGGGAAAGCAATCTGTGTTGGACAAGTTTTGGTTTAGTATTTGATGGGTGACAAAATAACTAAATCCTTGATCATTTTCCTTTCCAGAGCATACTCAACACTTTTAGATATCTTGGGACTGCAAAAGCTGACGATCGACAGCAGGTTTTTAAATATCACTGCTCTTCTGACAAGTAAGTTCTCCATTCCAGATTTTTTTTCCTCTCTAATATTCCTGACTTGTATTTTATTCTTGTATTTATTATATGGACTATTGCATTAATTTTCTGAGCCAAGTAAGCATGAGTGCAAATTGAATAGTATGGAACTGCTCTTAAATTTCCCAGCTAAAATGAAACCTATCAATATTACAGATAGAGATGAGATAAAGCACTGACTCACTTATTTATCCCAACTTGAAGGGCCAATGCACCTCTGGTGACATCTCTGGATGTTTTGGGAAACCCTTTTCTCTAAAATATTTTTAGAATGGAAAGATTAAATCATTAAATATTTGTATGTTTTTGCTGGACTTAGGGAAAGGAAGCTAGAAGAATTTGGAAACTTCTGGAAATAATAGTGTCTGAGGATACACTCTTCATTTAGAGGAAAGAGTGTTAGAAGAACTGGAAAGGATTGAGAAAAGTGGAGAGGAAAAAGGTTTACATTGGAATGAGGAGGAAGAGGGTCCTAACTAAGAGGAATAGAAAAGAAAGTTCCTTTCTGTTCAGCTCTTGTTGAGGGAGAGCTTCAGAATGTATTAAAATTTTAGTTTTCCTGTGCATAACGTTTAACTTTCATGAGAATGAATTTTAAAACACAAAGTTATTCTAAACAATGAAGTTCACTTATCCTAACTTCTTAAGTGAGAGATCTTATATATCCAGAGGCTGCTGCTCCAAAAATATCAATGGCAATTCTTACAGCACTACCAAATTTCATCTTTCTTTCTATTTTCATAAAATTACTGTAAATACTATGTTATTTGCTACATCTAGAAATATATTTCACTTATTTCAGTTCTGTGTATCCAGTAGATTTTATGAAATGCAGTTCTTGGTTACAGGTTGGTTGAGTTTTGACAATCATGTTTTATTACTCTGTGGATGATTGGTATTGAAATTTTAGGACTTTATTTCTTTATTGCCACTGCATATTTCTGAGATAAAGAAGTGAATACATTGAATTTAGTTCATACAGCATCAAATATTTCATGACCTTGTATATCATAATTAAGCATGTTTAGCTACCAGCAGTCTCCAAAACAAAAGTCTTCTGATGTAGTACTTCTTATAAATGAAGAAAAAAGTGATATAAAGAATATGCACAATTTAATAACTGCCCATGGGAATAAAAGTCTTTGGATTTATGTTTATAAAACAGCTTCCTTCTTTCTTATTGCATGTTTGGTTTCTTTTCAGGCATTTTAGCTATAAGCACACAGCCCAGCTTTTGAGTTTTATTTGGGGTCTTAAAGGATCCCAGTACTGAATATATCATGTGTTACTAAGTAATCCACCTGTCTGCACCTCTGTGTGGTTCACTTTCCTATTTGGGACAGAACACACCAGAGATGTGGATAACAATACAAGCTTCCATACCTACTTTAGTGACCACTCAGCTGCATTTTGCTAAGAGGACAGACAGGCTAGAGCCAGCAGCTTCCATTCTTCTTGGATGTGTCAGTGAGATGCAGTTTTGAAGCTCTGTCCTGTTTACCCTGAAAAGCAGACCGTAAGGAAAATGAGGCTGTTTGGCACAATGAATCCAAGCTTAATAATTGAATTACTGAATCTCTGTGGCATTAAGCATGTCAGGACTGTGCACGAAACCGATTTATCGGTTCATCAACCCAGGAAATAAATAATAAACTGTGAGTCAGTCTGAATGGAGAAAATGGAGGGTTTAATTTTGAGAGGAAGCAGGGGGGCAAGTTCTAAGGAAGAGGCTCCATTTCTGCTTAGACAAATTACCTTGTTTTCATTAACAGCATTGTGTTTTGAGGCAAATGCTACAAAAGCAAAGGACAAGGACAGGCATATACCTATGGGTGAAGCAGTGGTGGTGGTATCTCCTTTTATTTTGTAGTACGACAGGGTAAATCCCCTCTTCTACTAAATAATATTGGAACACAAATCCCTCACCTCTGATCACAGTTCCTATCAGCTTCCTTGGTTCTACAGTATGACCAGCAAAGTATTTACTAGAGTTTACTTCAAACTATTCAGTGTTCTCATAAAACATTATCCCTACACAATACCAATGGAGCACTTGATAAATGACAATAACATAGAAAATACTTGGCAAGAGGAGTCATAATTGAGGGAGAGTTTTTGCTGAAGATTTCAGCAAGGTTCACAATTAGATGTCTTCGGTATTTTGTGGACAACCTGGAAGCTGACAGAATTTCCTTGTCAATGAAATTTGCAAATGATACCAACAGTCCGGACCACTTGCTCCATCAAGCACCTGGGTTGCTTGGTAACCTCAGCCCATCCATGCATAGCAACATACTGAATTTAGGGCTGAAGAGTTTCTCTCTTCATCGAGAGAAAGAGGAATTGTGTTCTAAGGGGTCCTAATCTTTGAGGGAAATATATCGGGAATCACAGCAGATAAGCAAGTTCACTGTAAAAATTGATAACATAGTACAGGGGTTGTTGGTTCGGTTGTAAGTCTGACTTTGGTGAGACTGATACCAGAAGGCTGTGCTCTGCTGCTTCTGCTTTAAGAAAGGGGGCTGTAAAAAACATAGAGGGTCAGAAGAAATGATCACTCCGTCTTTCTTCTGTGCATTTACTTTGTAATTAGTTTTCTGGAAAAGGGTTCGTTCCCCTCAGTTGGTGTTATTAAAGTATTCTGGCTTTCTGCCAAAGTGTAGCAGTAAATGAAATGGTGGTTGACCTCACTAGTTTGATAATCTAGACTGGGAAGAACAGTATTACCACCAAAAAAAAAAAAAAAGTGTGTAACCTCCTTTTACATCATCTTCTCCCTGGTTACTGTATTGTTGACTGGCAGCATAATTCCTGTAGTCAAAATACTGATGGGAGAAAAACCTTTGATCACTATAATCACTCCTGTTCTACTGCTGTGAGTATACCATAGGACAGATCAGTTCGACAGATACTTGTTTACATTAGATACTTATATTAGTAAAACTGGAACCTATATTGTTGCGTTTAGGGAATTACATAGAAGTTCCTGATATATTTATTCAGATTCTTGACATTTGATTTTTGTTTTCTTAGAAACCAATGAATGACATTTCATATTTTTATGTTTATTTATTTATTACATATATTAAGGTGATTTATTAGTCAAATTAGCCATTCTTTGTACTGAGTAAACAGATCAGTGTGGGTTTTTTTGTGCCCTGAAAGTTTTTAGAATTAGCAGATTTCAGTCTCTGCCATGGAGCTTTTCCCTTCAGTAGAAAGTAAGATTTTATGCCTTTATCAGCTCTCAAGAGATAACTGTGCATGAACTAAATATTGCATAAAGCTAACCTGAATAAAGTGAAGAAAATACCTCCTTTGAACATGCAGACAAAGCTACAGATATCAAACTTGGACCAAGCACTTCTGTCAGAGGCTGTTTTCTCTAGTCTCTTAAACTCTCCCAGTTCAGTGGTTTGATGGTCAGCAAATATTTACCAACAGACACATAATACTTGAGTATTGCATGTTATTTAATGTAAATCCAAGTTTGGAACCACATTGGTAAAAATTCATTTTTAATTTTAAATTATCTAGTTTGAAATGAAAGGATAATTTAAAATAAAAATATATATTTAAATTGAAAAATTGCACCTATTAAAAAAAAAAATGCAAACAGCAGTTTCAGCAAAATCCATTCTTGTATTAAAAAATTATGCATGACTTCCTTTGCAGGCTGCCTGCAGTACAATAGAAAATGAAGCAAGCAGCTCTACTTTGTAAGGCTATTTGGAAACCCTTGAGGTATTAAAGAACCGAAATAGTGGCTTGCCTAAGGCAACAACTGTGTTAAACTTAAATGTTGATTTGTTTATTTAATAAGCATAACAAAAAGGCAAAATACTAAATGAAATATCTTAGTGAAAATAAACAGAATTATTGCCATAAAGAAAACCAATATTATTTCTTATTTAGGGAATTTCAGAACTAGATGAAATGGACACTGAGATGTAAAGGGAACATATATTTTTTGTTTCAGCTTTTAAGGATAGCATCCAGGCAAATATATTTGAGTTCTCTTTGGTAGTTATACAATATGAAGAAAAAAGAAGCTAAATGTGTATTTGATCTTTGATTTCTTCCTAGAAATGCACCTTGAGTCTTAGGCACTACTGCAGCTCCCTAATGTAAAATTCTGTTCCAATGAGTGTAATGGATTTACTTTCAGATACTTTTTCTCAGATTGCTAGCAGAATTTCTGCAGTAGAAGCCAAATGGTACCGAATTCTTTGCTGCAGAAAAAGGCACAGGAAGATTCAGATGGGTGTAGAAAGACTATAAATAAAAAACATTAGCCTCTGACCCAACAATTGTCTAGAAACAAGCACAATTATGTAGACAAATGGTGCTGATCACAATTCTCTTTCCCCACAGTGTGGCAATTGCCCAGCACAGAGCAACACTGAATAAATAGATGTGCTTTTGACACCAGCAGGATGGAATATGCCTGCCCACAGTGAGATAGAGCAGGCATTGACTGGGCTGACAGCTATAACAAATAAAGATCTTGGCTCAACAGGAGATGTTGAGCACCTATGACACTTGTCTTTGCTAATTCAGACTTTTGCAGTTGAATGCAAGAGTGAATATGAAGGGTCACAGTCACCTGGTTGGGGGCAGTGTGGGCAGCCTGAATGAGAAAATCAGTTTTAGGGAGCCTCTAATCAGTCAAGAAATGCCTGTGGCACCAGAAACAAAAAAAAAGCAAAAGTTCAGATTTCAAATTGTATTCAGGGATTACTTGTGCCCTCAAGATTTTGTTCTGGAGCAGGTTTTTCCTGCCTTTGCCACCTGACACTGAACCCACAGGCAGCACCTTCCCTCCCTGCAGCAGTGGAAGCTTTTCACAGCCCTCCCTTCCTCCCCAGAAACATGTCTGTGTCCCCAGGCCTGATGCTGATCCCTCAAGGGGACCCTTTGAGGCGACCCTTGTGTAATCCCCACTTTGAGGGGGCACTCTGCAGGGTGCACGTGGC